CACTTCACACACTATCCATTATCCCAAATGGGTCGATTCTGAGACCTTGTTCAGAGGTGGGACCTATCTTAAGTTTTCGCTTACAGGGCTGCATTGAACAAAGTATTAATAAGCCATAAGTGAAAGAATCATAAAGTAATCGTGCTTTTCTCAGCAGACATTAAGGCCTTTTATAACAAGTGCTCTCAATATATGTTAAGGATTTTTTTAAAAGTAATTACAAAAGTACTTTTTAAATTTTTTAATATATTAAATATTGTAATTGTTATTGAATAATAATTTTTTTTTTTTAAATTCTTATCAAGTGACTTTAGACTCCGTTCGCAGGACATAAAACTAATAAATCATAATGAATAATATATATGTTGAACTCTCAGAAAATCTGCAACAATTATTTACTTTGGAAGACTTTATGGAGTTTTTCTCCTGCATTTAAGCAATTGTCGGTCTAGAAAATCTTTAAATTTCATTTAAGGACCTGAATTTCTTCCACATATATCTTATGCTTGTCGGGATGCCCGCCAAACAAATTGTTTATCATTAACGTAAATTAAATTATTATGCACAAAACATTGCGTGACTGAAGGTTAGTTCATGTAATTAGATGGCTGGAAATGGAGATCAAACGCGTAATAGCCCTTGTTGAATGGCATGTTTGGTGAGCGAAATAATGCGCATAATCCCACCTATTAATTTGGATTACTTGAGTTTATATAATTACCTTTGTTGTGGGCTGACTTTGAATATGTGTTGCATTATGAACCCATTTATCTAAATTTAGAAGCTGTCCGTTGTTATATTTAATCTCTTTCATTATGAAGACAAATAGATTATTTAGAGATAATAGTTAGACGTGGTATGATTGTATTTGTTAGCCTTAGAGTTGGATTTCTACAATAGGGCCTATTGGGAGTGATTTTCTCGTGTGTTATTTAACATGATTATATCATATAAGAAAATATCTATTATATATAAACAAATTAATAGTGATGAAAGATCAGAGAAACAAAATAATAGAACGAGGAAAAATAAAATTATCATCCTTGGTTTATCTTTAAATGATTAGAACTTTCACATGACATGATGATATCAAACAACATATAAGAAGTTATATGATCTTTCTATTAAAGTTGACTAAATTTGAGTTATGTCTATATTTGAATACGTAAAAGATTTTCTTTTACACCTTTTCATGTACCTGCGCTAGTTTGTAAAAAAAAAAAAAAAACAGAGTATATGTATTGCGGTGTTTTATTTTGTTTTGTTTTTTCGTTTAAAAAATATATATAAAATAATGTATAAATAATGGGAAAAAGGTGTGTCATTTTAAATGACACACCTTATATCATTTCACTCTCACAAAGAGATGAGACTCACACTTTAAAAAAAATTTCTCCTCATTATCTCTTCCATGATTTATCTTTTTCTCTCACTTAAAATGATACAATTTTGTATCATTCAAAATGATACACATTTTCCCCATAAATAATATTCCTCATATTTTGGTGATAGATGGTGGGGCTTAAACGATCTAAAAGAGGTTGGGTTATTATCAGTTGGATTTCCAACATGTATAACTTTTATATTTGGCTGTTTTTTTTTTTTTAATAAGACTAGAGGTATTCTTATTCAACCTCTTTGGGCTACTTTAGCCTCAGAGTACAGCTCTAAAGGTTACCTCCTCATTGGAACAACAAGTGCATTGAGATATATTTATGTTGCACCGACACTGACATGGGACACGACATGACACACCGAGACATTAATTTTAAAAAATGTCATATTTCGACAAGTTAGGACACATTTTGATATTAAATAATATTTTTAATATATATAATATAATTTATATTTAATACAGCTAACATTCCATAATAAATCATATAACCAATCAAATATTCAAATTTCATAACATAAATATAAAACAAAATCAATTTTTCGTACCTTATTAATTTTTTTATATCAAATTCCATAACAGAAAAAAATTAATTTATAAATTAAATTTTCATATTTAGTTAATAAAATAAATTTAGAAGTAAAAAAAAATGTTGGAAAAAGATGACTGCGTGTTGGAAACGAGTGTCGAAGAATTGACCGCGTGTTAGAATGTGTTGGTGTCCAATAAGTGTCTGCCACACATTTTTTCAAAAAAAATTGCATGTCAATGCTTTCTAGGGCTATGCTATAGGAGAAATGATGAGACTAATTTCTCCTTCGAAAAGAGATACATGTCCTCTTACCCCAAAAATTTTACAACAATTTGCGCCAGTATTTGAACCCTGAACCTATGATACCCAAACACGCTAAAATTTGAAAAAAAATGCATGTCGGACACCAACACGTTCCGACACGCGTCAATATTTTGGGACACGTAGTTAACTCTCTGACACGTTTTTTTGACACGCAATCAACTTTTTTCGACACGCGGTCAACGTTCTGACACTTTTTTTTAGTCTTAATTTTATTTTATTAACTAAACATAAAAAAATAATTTATAAATCAATTTTTTTCTGTTATGAAATTTGACCTGAAAAATTAATAAGGTACGAAAAAATATTTTTATTTTTATTTATGTTACTAAATTTGAATATTTGATTGGTTATATGATTTATTATGGACTGTTATATGTATTAAATATAAATTATATTATATATATAAAAATATCTCCCAACATGTCGAAATATATCATTTTTTAGAATTAACGTGTCGGCATGTCGTGTCGTGTCCTGTGTCAGTGTGTCGATACATCGTAGCCCTAAACCATATCCGTGGGGGTTATATTTGGTTGCTTTTGATACATAAAATTTTTTTCTTCAATATTTTTACAATATTGTTCCGAGAAATATGTGTACTTTCATTGATTTATATTGTAAGCACTAAACTGCAAGACTAATAACAAAATATGTTTGCGTCTCTGTGAGATTATATGCTAATGTCTCAAAAAAAAATGGGGTTTTTTTTGGATAGATTATTTCACCTAATATCTTTTTTGCATACTTTTGTCTGTCACTCTCTAATATACGGTTAGATTAGAATCTCAATTATCTTTATCATTTCTTTCTCCGGATGAAATCTTCATCTAATAATCTTGAAGAATAAACAAAAATAAACAGAAAAAATAATAGATAGAATAATTTTTATTTTTTTTTACGAAAGACAAATTGTTTAGAGTCCTGGATTCTATGAGCAATCATTGGGTGAAGATCAATTTACACATGTAGACACATGCTTATTGGCAATCATCTTACCTTAGGAAATGGCAGGATCATGGGTTATTGATTTATTCAATCTAAATTAATCAAACTTGAGAGGCCTGTGTATCTTCTGTTATCTGTTTATTTATTATGATAATAAAGAAGGAGATTTTGCATGCTACCTACCTGTCAGCCTGTCAGGTCTTGTGCTAAATGTTAATAGAAACAAACAACGTAAAGAAAAATTAGTTTATTTATCGTTTTTTTAAATAATTCAACTGTTCCTCATTCCCATGACGAAGCAGGGAATCCTGCCGATAAGGTTTTCAGGAACATTGTTGGCCTTCACTGGCTTGTCAGATTCTTACCCTTGAATGCAGAACAGGAGAGGTGAAATTATTGAAAACGTACACATGTACGACATAATTTGTACAAGTTATTGCATTCAAATTATTGACAGATAAAAATGTACAATTTCCCAGTTCCAAACATGATATTTATTCATATAAAAAACAAATAAAAAAAAAACAGAGTACTACGTAGTACGTGTTGATTTTTTTCTTATTGCTTTGTATTTTTATTTTTATTTTTGGGTGCGGAAGAAGAGAATGATAAATCACGAAGAAGATGATGAAGAAATAATGATATGATGAGGTTGTCCTTATCGGCCAGCTTTAATATATCAGAAGTGACCCATATTCAAGATACAATGCAAGTGGGTCATTTTTCAGAGTGTGACCACAAAAGGCAATTGGTTTAATTAACTATGATCCTCCATTTAGTATACGTATTCAGGTTCTGATTCCCACCAATCACCATAATAAATTATGGGTGCAAAATTTTACAGTTGACTGTACAGTTTTATTGAGTACAGCAACACAAATAAATGATTTTTTTTTTAAAAAAAAAACAGTAGGATCTTGAATCATATATTACTGCAAAAGTTTTTTTTTTTTGCAGTGATAGGAGAGCTATAAAATCCAATAATTATCTGAAGGCAATAGGGTTTAAATCAGTCCATTACTTATGGAATTAAACTTCCACGCTGCAAGTCCAAAATAAGTTAGGGAGACAAAGATTTAGGTAACTGTGGGGTTACTTTGCATTGTACGATTATTAATACTCATCAATCAATGGAGTATGACAGTGTCCCAACTCCATGTACCCCTGTAGGTTATAGGAAGTACCCTCCCAAATTCATGAACCTCCCTTAGATAGACCAAGACCCCTTCCTAAACCTACATGTGACATCTCTTAAACATAAACTTCTCATTTTTAACTGGCCACCGTAATAAATATATCCTACTTAAATCAACTTGTCATAATTGAAAAAAATAAATACAAAAACACAAAGATTGCTACATCTGATTCTAAAAAATCACAGTAATTAACATGATAATTAATAAGAAATATTGATGAGTTTGAAGGTCCTAATATAATTGAGAGTCGGAATGGAAGAAGAACCCCGCTAGCTAGGCTCGTAATTTAGCAAGTTCTGTTCCTTTCGGCACCATGTGCATCACTTCAACTCTCAATCTCTTTATCTGTCATTTGCTTCTATGGACACATGCAGGTGTGCCCCAAACTTATCCTCGCTCCCATGTTCTGATGTTCCTCCTATTTCTTCAAATAAAATGACAAAGTAAAAAAAGTTGACCAGATCATAGTCCAAGACTTACCAAGTACTGAGTAAGGGGCAAACTCGTCAGAAAACTTTAATTATAAACATTATAAATGACATTGTCAGATTCACAAGCTCCCATGCAAACACATAAACGCTTCGACCCACCACAGTTTCATTTTAACATTCCACTCGTAACAGTTTCACGACATCATAGAGTGCATATAAATTTTAATAATTTTCATAATTCTAACCACAACAACAACAACAATGGGTGGCGTTTGGTTTACCCTAGCGGTGTTGTTACTGGCCCTCAGCTCCGTCGTCCGGTCATGTCCGCCGTCGGACAGGGCGGCGCTACTTGCCTTCAAGGCGGCTCTCCACGAGCCTTACCTCGGAATCTTCAACTCGTGGACCGGCGACGACTGCTGCCACAAATGGTACGGCGTCAGCTGCGACCAAGATTCCCGCCGCGTCGCCGACATCAACCTCCGCGGCGAGTCGGAGGAGCCAATCTTCGAGAAAACCCACCGCACAGGCTACATGACCGGATACATCTCGCCGGCGATCTGCAAGCTCTCTCGTCTCTCCAGCATCACCATCGCCGACTGGAAGGGAATCTCCGGCGAGATCCCCCGCTGCATCTCCTCCTTGCCGTTCCTCCGAATCATAGACCTAATCGGAAACCGAATCTCCGGCACCATCCCCTCCGACATCGGCAGGCTCCACCGCCTCACGGTGCTGAACGTCGCCGACAACGTTATCTCCGGGAGAATCCCGCCGTCGCTGACGAACCTCACGAGTTTGATGCACTTGGACCTCCGCAACAACCAAATCTCCGGGCCCATCCCACGAGGCTTTGGCAGGCTTCAAATGCTGAGTCGGGCCCTGCTGAGCGGTAACAAAATAAGTGGGCCCATACCGGGCTCAATTTCTCATATTTATCGTCTCGCGGATCTAGATCTATCTCGTAATCAAGTCTACGGGCCCATACCGGAATCGCTAGGTAAAATGGCGGTTCTGTCGACGCTGAATTTAGATATGAATAGACTCTCAGGAGGAATCCCTGTGAGTTTTTTGGGTTCGAGAATCACTGACTTGAACTTGAGCCGGAACAGCTTAGAGGGGAATATACCAGACGCGTTCAATGTAAGGTCTTATTTCACGGTCCTTGATTTGTCGTATAACAATCTGAAAGGGCCCATCCCGAAATCCATATCCTCTGCTTCGTATATTGGACACTTGGATTTGAGTCACAACCATCTCTGTGGCCCAATTCCAGTTGGTTCGCCTTTTGATCATCTCGAAGCGTCGTCGTTTGTCTACAACGATTGCCTCTGCGGGAAGCCACTCAAAGCTTGCTAATCTTAGCTAAACAAACTCTCATAAGAAAATATATATAATATCTTTGTAATTTGTAATAGGCTGAGTCGTGTGTTTATCAGTTAACTGATTTCATGTACTTGTGTTTGTTATCTCATGATATGGTTAATATAAATGGCGCTTCGCCAAATAAAATACAAGGTTCCTTCTGTCCGTGCACGCATCATTTTTATGTCAATTTGTATCACCCATCAACTACTATTATAAAAATCAACCCGACCGGCTGGTTCACTCGGTTAATCAGTAGATTGGAACTCTAATTGGTTTGATTTATATGTTAATCCCGTATAAAATCGGTGACTTAGTTCTGAACCGGATTCAATTTCAATTTTGTGGAATTTTAGACATAATGTTTAAAAAATAGCACTCATAAGATTCAAATCTAAACTATATGAATTATAAATTAATACACTTATTATTAAATTAATTCTAATTATTAACTAAAATACTTCTAATTTTATTTTTATTATATTTAATTTATACGGTTGAACCAATACTTTATTGATTGAACATGTGATCCATTAACTCAATATCTCAATTTGTTAATAATCAATCCTAGTTTAAGAAAGTTAATTTCATGGACTTCCTCTCTCTCTCCTCCTTCCTCTCCTCTCTCCTCTCTCCTCTCTCCTCTCTCCTCCCTTCTCTTTCTCTTTCTATGAGGGTGGGTGACTCCGGAACACTATATATTTGCTAGTTTAATAACACTGTCATCAACATCTTAAAAGATAAAAGTGTCAAAAAAAAAAAAAAAAAAAAGTTAAAAGTGTTTATCAGCGAAACGAAATGTGGCTCCAAAATTCTATATCATTTTTATTCTTCCTTTTCATAATAATTATTTTCTCGCGGATCTTTTAACTGTACAATCCAAACAATTTTATTTAGTGAACATTTAAATTTACTTAATTTTAATAAACTGTCCTTTTCACAATTTTTTTTTGTTACATCTACATCTTAATCCTTAGATATTCTCTTCTACTAAAACAGAAATGGCACGTGGGTAGAAAAAATGATTTACAAACATTCTCACATGCAATAAAGGAACAAAGATGTTATTTATACATAATTCTTTTAAAAGTTTTTGCATTACTTTCTTGGGTTTTATTACTTTTATGTAATAGGAGATATATTATCTCATGTTGTAGATACAATCATGTAGTGTGTCTCATTATTTATTAAAAAAAAAGAAAAAAGAAAAGAAACATGAAAATCGATGAGTGTGTAGGAAGTTATATTCTCTTATTCAACATGAGAGTAATATAACTCTACTTTTTTAATAATAAACTAAAGAAAACATACATATTAACAAACAATCTATATTATTATTCCGAAAAAAACATAAAAATGATGTAAAAAAATATTAAAGTGCAGGTGACAAATTTTTGTAAAAAAAAAATGTTGAATTGCTTTTTATTTATTTATTTATTTGTAAAGTAAAGAAGGAGAATTCCCAACCGGTCTTTTTTATTATTATGAGAAATTTATGAATTATTTTTAAAGCGCGAAATAAATGAAGGGGTATACCGCTATGCAGTTATGCGCCTTAAAAAAGTTTATACTGTGAATATTGCCGAAGCTTTTATGTGCAGCTCCTATAAATGAAAGTTACGTCGCCGACGTGGTCTCAAATGATGCGTCGCTTTCTGGTTGACTACTTTACAATTGAAATTGGGAGATTGTTCTTCAATCATATTTATGTTGTGTTATTATCCATTTAGGTTGACATTCACTAAGTTATTATTGTTTTTAATGTTTTAAATTTATCATCAATTCACATAAAAATTTCATCCCAGAAATAAGTGATAGTTAGCTTCATTTTATTTAAATAACATGAAAAATAATTCTCCAAAAAAAAACAAGAAAAAAAATTAAAGGACTATCAATAATGTATATTGAATTCAAGCCTTTATCTGTAGATTTATTATTTAAAGAATTATTGATCATTCATTAAATGAATGTTATTAATGTAATTATTGAATTAATTTTTATATGAGACTTTGGGCATCTGAAATTCGCTTTGAATTCAGATTAATTCATTTGCATCGCTTAAATTTCAAAGTTCCTCAAACACCTAATTTCTCTATTTATATTAAGAATGAATTCCTTTTCATCTGATTTAATATGACAATGATATATGAAAGGATCACAATCATTCATATATAAATTAAGGGAAACGTGTGTATTCTTTTAAAGGATACACACTTATATCCTTTTAAGAGAGATAAAAAAATAAATTTGAAAAAGAGAGAGTGAAAAAAAAAATTTATAATTTGAAAATTGAAAAAAAAAATTTATAATTTGAAAATTGAAAAAACACACTCAATTTATCTAAAAGGACCATCCTTTTGAAAGACAAACAATAAACCCATAAATTAATGATTATCTTTATGTACTAAAAAAAAAATAATGATTATCTTTTAATTATTATTTTCTTTATTTTTTCTCTCTTTTTCATTATTATTAATTTAGCTATAAATAATTAGATTCTCATATGATATTATCACGCTGAATCACACAAGAGAATCTATTCAACTTCACAATTTCCAAAACTCGAAATGTTCTCTCAAGAAAATTAAATTTCCTGACACTTAGACCAACAACTGTAACATTATATTTAAGTGGTTCTCGCTTCTCCTTGTTCCTGTTCCTAACTCTTCCCCGAGTAGTTCCCAATGTTTGGTACTTTCTATACTTCGTGGATGCAACATCAACAAATTCGCTCATGATCAAGTAAATATAAATATAAGTAGATTGATTTTAGTGCATTTATAGTTATTAATTGAAAAAATATTTACTGAATAGGTGACCTTTTGAGTTCAAATCTCTTGACTCTTATATGGCATAAAGATCTGAGATACGAAAAAAGTTAAATAATGATTATGTCGGATGAAGTGACAAAACGAATGGATATGAACAAGAGATGATGATAGACATGACACGTGATGAGAAAATGATTAGAACCACAGCTGGTGCGTAAGGAGCCCTTGGATGAGAAATGTTTTCGATACTCCCGTTGTTTCAATATTTGGTACATTTTTTTTATCAAATATAATAAAAAATAATATTTTTACACTACAATTACCTTTATACTTATTTTTATCCATATCTTATATATTTTTTATTTTCATCCCCTTTTATGGAAAATGAGCTCTCTTGGATGACGGTGGTAAACACTTTATAACTTTTGTTGGTCTGGTTTTGAATTCTCGTTTCTTCTTACTTTTGATCTGGGAAAAAAATTTTAAGCTCGCGTCTCATCTTAAATTCTTGTGGTCCCTCTCACAATCCAATTTTTGATTTTCTCATTTTATTTCTGCTTTGATTTTTATTTTTCATTCTTATCCTCTCACATGTGAGTGAGAGTAGCTAGCAATTCTATGGCCCGGACCATAACATTTTTTTTCTTTGATATGGTAGATTGTCAATTTTCTATGGTCTGGAGCATCAAAATTAAGTGGTTTCTTCTCATAAATGGGAAGATAAAATGGAAAATGAAAAAAAATAGATAAAATGGGAAAGAAAAATTTCTGTTTGTGAGAGAACCACAAAATTTTTGCATGGCCCTTTACCATACATTTTTTTTCATTGGCAACAACATTCTCTTCTATTCCCTCTAGAGTCTAGACGAAACGGAATGCATGCGTGGGAATGGAATGGCTCAATTTTCTTTCTTTTAATTCTGTGAAGAAAATAAATTGATTTTATTTTGGAAAGCTCAAAATGATTAGTAGGCAATTATGAAAACAAATTTTAGATCTCAAAGAGCTGAAACTTTAGGTTGTTAGCACCGGGGCTTTTTGTTTCTATTGGACTTGTAGAATGCCTCTAGTATCGGATTTAGGACAAAAAAAAATTAAAATATTATTTTTTAATAAAAGAATTATTAAAATGTAATCGTTTTGAATGCATTTACAAATATATTGCACCCAAACACACTCCACGGGGGCTTGACCTGATAGAGAGAGACACGCCTCATAAGGGTGTGTTTTATGAGAGAGACAAGCTCTAAGGGAACGTGTTTCACCAAATACTAACACGTGGCACAAAAATTAACAGTTTATCCGTAAAATTTTGAAAGTCCATAACATTTGACTCGGGTGTCCGAATTAGGTTATTTTTTTTGATTTCATACAATTTTTCTAAATCTACGCAATGACACTTCATCTGACATAATTTGTCTCTCACAAAAAAAGTTCAAATTTATAACAATGGTACTATAAGAACGTTTAAACCCAGATTAATAAAGAGAAAATCACTGTCATGGTTAGAAACATTCATGGTAAAGATCCTTATGATTATGATACCGTTGTTGTAAATTAAAATTCTTAGCTGCTTTTATTTTTTCTCTTCACAATTTTTATTTTTCTCTATCACATCACAAGGAAAAAAATAGATAAAAAAGGAAAAAAGAAAGGAAAAAAAAACATGGTTGTGTTCTTTTTATTCTTATCTTTTCTGTGCTTTTGGATAGATGCACATGGTGTCCTCTATAGTTACCTACGAAAGAAATATCGTCAACTACACACCATAAATCGAAATAGCAAGAGATCTTTATGACATTTTACTTGAGGAATTAACAAGATAATTTTTTATGTGGCCAATTGCTAAAATATTGCTTATTGTAAAATTGAGGGTTCTACTTAAGTTGACTAATTGTATTCTAGATTCTAGATATATAACATTGTCAGTCGAATGCAAAAAAATTTATAAAAAAGATTAATTATTTAACTATGGGTGATAATCGTCCGGGTAGTTTTCTCATAATTGATGGCTACATATTGATAGAGAAAAATGGAGATGAATTTAGAAGTATTAGAAATAGATTAATTAATTAACATGTGTGTGTGTATGTAATATACTATAAAATTTAGAAAATATGCAAGATGGAGCACAAGGAAGCATCTTTTGGAAAATATTTTTGACGGACTTGCCAACACATTCGTTTCGAAAAGTTACGCGGAATTTGAAGTTTTGTCTCCTATAAATATAATTTCAATTTGCAACAA